GCCGTGGAGCAGCTCCGCTCTTTCAGGAGCTGCCTTTTGGGAGTCCTCCTCCCTTCTGTCTGCAGACCTTGAGCAGGTTCATATTCCACCCCACAGCGCTGGGCACTCCTGTGATGGAGAACTGCTCTCTCTGTCTCTGTCCCGGGAGCAGAGGGGTTGGCTTGTGTGGAGGGGCTGGGGGTGGCAGGAGGTGGGATGTCCCTGCTGCCCGGCGTGCACCGTGTCTCTCCCCTGTGCAGGCCACGCTGCAGTTCTGCATCGTGAAACCCCTCATGGCAATCGTCACCATCATCCTGCAGGCGTTCGGGAAGTACCACGACGGGGACTTCAAGTGAGGATGTTGGGTCGGGCTGGGAAGGGTGAAGGGGACAGGATGGGTCCCTGGGGACAGGGTGTCCTGCCAGCCCCACCCAGGGAGCTGCTCCACAGGCGGTGAGAGCACAGGGAGCCCAAACTGCCGGGGAATGGAGACTCACTGTCCCCAAATAAGAAAGGGACGAAATTCCTGTGAGCCATAATAAAAGAGGTCCCACCAACAGAGGAAGAGCTGAATAGTCCCCTGCTCCCCCCTTTCTCCCTGCCTCTCCTTCCCCTCCTGGACTGTGCTGTCCCCCATGGCAGTGACACGCACTTCTCCCCATCCCATTTCTTCCTTCTTTGCTTCCGACTGCACTCGCTTCACTTCTTGCAGCCCACGGCAGCAGCTTTCTCTCTCCCCACAGTGTCCAAAGCGGCTACCTCTACATCACCATCATCTACAACTTCTCTGTCAGCCTGGCTCTTTACGCCCTCTTCCTCTTCTACTTCGCCACCATGGACCTGCTGCGCCCATTTGAGCCGGTCCTCAAGTTCATCACCATCAAGGCAGTCATCTTCCTCTCCTTCTGGCAAGGTGGGTCCCACCATGGATGCCTAGCCCTTCTCCTCTCATAGCCCCACCTGACCCGGGGACACAGAACTAGAGCTGGTCCCTCTCCCTTCCCCTGCACAGGGACACTGCTTGCAATCCTGGAGAAATGTGGAGTGATCCCTGAAGTTCAGATCATCGATGGGAAGGAGGTGGGAGCTGGGACAGTGGCTGCTGGCTACCAGAACTTCATCATCTGCATTGAGATGCTCTTTGCTTCCATTGCCCTGCGCTATGCATTCACCTGCCAGGTGTACAGAGAGAAGAAAGAAAACTCAACAGGTAACTCTTCCTCTCTTCTTCCTTCCTTCATCAGTGACTAAGGGAAGTCTTGGAGTGCTTGGGCTCCTGATGTCCCATCTGTCTGATGTCCCATCACCCTCCTGCTCTCCTTGTTTTTCAGCAAACCTTGCCCCGATGCAGAGCATCTCAAGTGGGCTGAGGGAGACCATAAGCCCCCAGGACATCGTGCAGGATGCGATCCACAACTTCTCGCCCGCGTACCAGCAGTACACTCAGCAGTCAATGCAGGAGGCAGAGCGCAAAGCACCGGGGGAGAACGGGCAAGCAGCCTCCAAAATGGATGGACCAAGCAGCAGAAAGAGCAAAAGCATTGAGAAGAGAGTGCTCATCCTGTCGGACGAGGAGCTGTAGGAGACATCACAGGGGACAGTGACACTGGAGAGGTTTAAACCCATGCAAGTGCGAGCTGTCTTGAGCCTGAAACAACCTGGTCTAATCAGAGTACTGAGAAGCCAGGAACTCTACCCAAAAAGCCAGTCTCTTGAAGGGAAGATGCAATAACCCAGGGAAAGGTTAAATCAAATAGTGCCAGCTTCTGCCATCCCATCTCTACTGGTGGTAGGGACTGGGCTGTCTTTGCTCCTGTGACTAAGCAGCCCTTCGTTGCAGTCTGGGCTCTGCCACCCCACTGCTGGTGTCTTGATGCCAGCCCCGTGCCCACACTGGGGGATGCCAGACAGGGAGGGGAGCCAGGCTGCAGGATGGACCAGGCACCCTCACCCTCCTCTTACCTCCAAGCAGTGCTGAGGCATGAGAGAAATGCTTTTCTCAGCACAGTTCTGCTCTAGTTTCTCTTGATTTGAGTAAAAAATGATCTCCAAGAGCCCCGTGGAGAAAACCAGCCCAGGAAGGTGACTTCACTTCACCTCAAAACCTGGTAACGGTTCAAAGACGTCATTCCTTATTTTTACATCTTTCCCCCTCTCCTTCTCCCAGAAAAGCCTACGGAGTTGTGCAGAAGACCTTTACCAGAGAGGAAGAATAAGTCATCCTCTTCTCCCTCCAGATGGGGATGCAGCTGTCTGAGTAACTCCCCCAGGAGCAGCAGCAGGACCTCGCTGGGGCTAACACAGGGTCTTCCAGCTGCATTTCTGAGAACAGCTGGTGACAGAAGCACTTGTTTATGTCTAAACCAACTTATCTCTGAATGGATCAGAAGTTAAAAGGGATTCCAGCTTCCTTATCAGAGTCTTTATTAGGGAACCAGACCGTGACTGGTGGCGGTAGGAATGCGCTTACTGGGAATAGTCTGTTTCTCCTAACCCTTTGCTATTTACCGTCCCTGGGCTTTGCCTAACCTGTGGGAAGGCAGGCGGGAACTCAGCCTGGCTGGGTGACGGTGGCAGGGATGGAGAGGTGCTGGGGGCTGCTGCCGCTTGGGGCAGGACCACTGGCAGTGGAAGATGCTGCATAGAGGGATTCTCCCCGTAACGGAGAGCGCACATCCTTCCATCAAACCTCCCCTCTGATTTTTTCTTCCCCATTTAAAAAAAAAAAAATAATCCAATTTCTATTCCCCTGTTAATTAAATGATCCCTGGGAACTTACTTAGGCACTGTCCAGGCTGTTTGAGGGTGGGAGCTGGGTAGTGAAAGGACAAAGGCAAGTCTACAGCCTCAGATTTGCAGTCATGAGGCAAACCAACCAATGGGTAAGGCTTAGAGCTGTTTTACACACAACTTTTTTTTTTTTATCCCGCTGTTAAGCTGCAAAATGTAAATCACAACATGAAATTATTTTATTTATGAATTTTTTTTCTAATAAACAGCAATTTCTACCACAGAGTGAGCAAGTGTTTTCACTTAGCTCAGCAAGCAAGCTCACAATCTGCCTGTTCCTGCTCTAATGCTGATGCTCCTAAGCTCAGCGTCCTCCCTGCCCCTCAATGCTGGCCCAGCAGAAATACCTGCACACGCAGCATCCTGCACTTCTTGCCATTCCCACGGGACTTGTGCTTATCTTTTCACACCACGAAGAGTGTGTGTGCCCCCCGCTTCCTCTCCTTGCACTGCACCTCTTCCAACCCTCACCCAAGCTGTGGATGCAGCAGTTCAGAGGTGCTGGATCCACTTTAGCCAAGCTAAGCCCAGACTCCAGCACCAAGACAACTTCTATTTATTATTATTGGACGAATCTTACCGTGCTGGAAGGCCGGACTCCACACGAGCAGCCTGTATAGCTAAGCCAGTCTTACAAGTCCTTCTGCTCCAAAGCACTGCTGCTCATACCTGCTCAGCCAGTGAGACCACTGGCCCCTTCCCTGTGATGAGACCCACAAACAAGACCCGTACACACTGTGCATCCAGGCATCCATCCAGGGTCCTGCTCACCCTGGGAGCAGGACCCTCCTCCCCACAAAGTGCAGCCTCGGTGCTCATGGATGAGGCTGCTTGGCTTTGGGAGGCAGCCAGCACCAAAGCAGGGACATCTCTCAGCTGAACATCTTGGTCTTCTCCCCTCTGGGAGAGGGCTGGCCACAGCTGCAGGAACAGCGGCTGCCCCAGCTCCTGGGGCGAGGACAGACTGCAAAGATGATGATGGCACATCTGTCGGCGCGCTCGCGGCCACTGAGATAAAGACTTGCACAAGAACACAGCAAGAAACGTAGTTGTACTTCATTGCACAAATGATCAACTCTGGTGCATAATGGGCTGCATTCATGGCTCTTGCCAGCAGGTGCAATTCCCACTGCAGACAATAACATTTGCCTATTTATGTCAAGCCCTGATTACTGTATTATATGTAAAACAGGTCTTTCTTGCAAGCAAAACAAGGGAGGGGGGAATCAGCTGTGACTCATCCAAGTCAGCAGTGTGATACCAGCCTGAAGGAGCCGTGCTGGGCTGGACACCAGCTGGCTGCTGCGCCGTGCAACAGCAGGCAACGCTCCCCTCTCCAGCAGGCGCGAGCTTGGCCTCCTGGTCATCCTTTTTCTTGGAGAGGGAGAGAGGCAAGAGCTCACAGCTCAGGCTGGGCACTGTCACGGCCCTCAAACCGTTACGCTGTCAAAACGCATCCATGGGGAACAGAAATACCAACGGTGTTGCAGACTGAACGCGTTCCCCAGCAGACACGGTCCTGTGCTCCTCTGCCAACGTGTCTCCTCCACCTCTTCAGCAAGGACATGGGGAAAGCTGGCGGCGAGCACATGAGTGACCTACACAGGAGCCTGGTTGTGCCTGGAACCATGCCAGCAGGCAGCTTGGGAGGAACAGGCTTTTATCACCGCCAGCAGCAGGCTCCAGTGGTCGGCAGATTTGTTTTCCAGTTGTCACTTGTCCTCAGGCTTTCCCCAAGGACAAGGCTGGGCTGCAGCTATCAGTTCTCCTGGTGCTTTTTGGGCTTGGGTCAGGCAGGTTTACAACCTGCTCATGTCAGGGACACATCCTCACCCTGCAGTTGCACCAGCAAGAGCTGGGGCTGACACGCTTCCTACGAGCAAAGGGGAAGGAAGGTGGCCAGAGCCAGAGCAGAGCTCTCACACAGATGCTCATCCTGCAGTGCCCAGTTGGAGGCAGAGAAACTTTTGGGTTTTGGGTGCTAGCACCTACCAGCAAGTCCTTGGGCCCAGCTGTTGACAGAGCCGACTGCCAGACCTTCATCAGAGAGCAGGATCTGTGCTCTTGGAGCCCTGTTCAGACTCACTCTTCTCCCCCCAGCTCTAGGTCTTTCTCCTCCCCTAAGCATGGCGAAGGTTGATCTTCCCTTCACTGATGAACCTCCACCCGGCCCATTCCTGATGCCCTTTTCCTCCTGAGCTAATGCTCCTCCATCCCTCCAGCAGACACAACTGGCCCACCTCCCTTCTCCTCTCTGCCACCAATGGCTCCTCACTGCTATCTCTCCAGGCAGGAGCTAAAGCAGCTGATGATTTTCTTGCTCAGCACAGTGACTGCAATCACCCCTTAGGCTTCACCCACACCCCTGCTCAGCCAAGCCTGCCTGGCCCCACCTCTGGCACCTAATGACCATCCATTACTTGTTGACACACAAAGCCTTTTCAGACCTGCTTCTCTCCACTTTGCCCTACCTCTAATTCCAACTTTGGCCAGCACACCCGCCTGACTCCAACCTATTGCCTCAACCCAGTACAGGTCAAGCATTTTGCTCCTTCAGCTGTCCCCTAAAGAAAATCGACCACTTGGAACAGGGGATTAAAGCTAACATGGCCCCTAGGAGCTCACTGACACAAGGTACCACCTCTTTAAATTGCAATCAGGGAAAAACAGAAAGATGAAGTATTGACATAAGGGGTTAAAGCAGTTTATTCACAAGCAGTCGCATACGAAAGCAGTGAAGGGATATTTCACAGCCCAAGGAAGGAGAGGGGAATGAGGTGCTGGGGGGTGAGAGCCGGTGCTCTCTCCAGCACTGTGACCCATCTCATAGCACAGGGTCTCCAAGCCACGAGTGGTCTCGCACAGCCAGCTATCACGACTGCAGGCAGCTGCCTGCTCAGCTATCAGTCCCTGCTTGTGCTACCATAAATACCGACTGATTACACACTAAGGTGGAGCCTGGGTTGGGAGAACAGATACACATGCTCTGAGCATGAGATCTACCAGGCAAGCAGCTTAGACAAGAGCTATCCCTTGAGCATCTTCCCAAGGAAGCACCACAGAAAGGCTGGGAGATGAGGGAGCCGGCTATGCTGGGCTGGGTCAGATGCTTGCAAAAGCCCGAGCAGCCGCTGCTTTAGCCCAGCCTGCCTCCCAAAAACACATCGCTCACCAGCAGCGCCGCAGCCAACGGTCAGCTGTATGCTGCACCAGGGATGGGCAGGCAAGAAAACTGAAGAAAACACTCCACTGAAGATCAATTCAAGCTCCAAAATGCTGACCATAGACCAGGGCAAGTCTGAAACCAGAAAATGCTTTATTGGAAAGGTACAAAAAAACCAGTCACTGCAGCTAAATTTACAGCAATAAATTACGTTGTGGCTGTCAAGAGAAAGTAATGGACACATACACAGGGCTATTCGCCTTACAAACAGGAATCCACATTGCTTGGTATATCAATAATTTATTTTATAATAAAAAAGCAGCACAAAAATAAATATTGAAATGAAATTACTGAGTAACCACAGAGGATAGAATGAGCTGGTGATAAAAAACAACTTAAAACAGAAGACTTCTATCATTTAAAAAAAAAAAAAACGAAAGCAAGTATCCACCATCTACGGAAACACCCCAGCAGACTGAAATACAGACGAAGGAAAACAAATCCACGTTACAAAAGTTTTTCGTTTTTGTTTTGTTTCTTTTTTTTTTTTTTTAAATAAAAACAATCATGACAATGAAGTTTAAATGATTAGAGAGAGAAAAAAAATGCCACCTTCTCCTCCTCCCCGG